GCTTCTTTCTTACTGGGGCTTGACTTCGCTGAAACGATGAACGAATATGCGAGAAAAAATGCGGCGGCAGAAGGCGTCGGCGGTAAGTGCAGATTTGAAAATGGTGATTTCTTTTCTTACGATTTTAAGAATGAAACGTACACTGTTTCAGTAGCTGTTGGTGTTACGGACTATACGAAAGACATGAAAACGTTCATGAAAAAGATACATGCCGTAACCGACGGTGCTTTTGTTTTGTCGTGGCCAACAAATGGTTTAAGAATGGCATTACGCCGATATCGATACACTACACCAGTTTATCACTATAATGAAGCAGACATCCGGCGCTTGCATGAAAACCTTTCACTCCAGTCCCTGGAAATAGTACCTATGCAGGGAGGGCACATGAGTATAGCCAGGAAGTGACCGAATAACTAACCCGGGGAAACATAAACGATGAGCGGTAACCAGAAAAACTACAGAGAAGCGTAGCAGTTTTTAATCCCTATGTATTACTGCTCATCATGCGTTTCCGGCTGTGGTACATCGATCGCCGTCGCTGGCCGATGGTTCTGCCGTAAAGCCGGTACGCCAATCAATTCCAATAACGCATGAAGAAACTTCACTGGTCTACGGGAGAAAATAAATTTCGCAGCGGATTGTTCGATCAATCCCGCTGCATAGGCCAGTTTCTAAAAATAAATAATTAAACATTTTACCCGGTCATAACCCTAACCCATAAAACTGTTTAAATACTTCTCTTCCCTTTTCCGCGACACAAATTTTATTGCCGGTAAGACGGGAAAACGGAAAGAATTCTTTCAATGATTATAATAGCATCTTAAATACTTCCCGTCTTATTACTGTTTACAGTCAGGGAAAAAACCTTTCCGGCATTTTCACGTTTGAATGCCTTTACCCCCCTCATTATTTTTTACTCAGTTTACGCCGGGGCTTTCTGAACCATTTTTTAAACAGATAAGTTTGATGTTTATCCCGCCAGTCTGCGTACATGTCGATCAGCTTTGGTTTACCATTGCTGGGAAATAAAGAACCGAGTGCATCCATTTCTTTAAAGATGGCGCGGATATCTTCTTCAGTGTAGTGATGTTGCCCATAGCCGTGGGCAACAA